AAAATTGGGTTGGTAGCAGTGGTGGTGATGGATGCGATAGTGGAAGATTGCTAACTGGGTTGAAATTGGCGGCGATTCCGGCCGCAGGCCAGCGGAACTGGCAGACGTGCCCAAGTGACCGGTACTCCTAACCTCTGATCGTAATCCTCCCAGCCGAAAGGGATGAACGCTAGTGCTTAACATGAAACTGCCTCATTTCTGTTGATTCTTTGTGTTTGAACGGACCAGCGGTGTTTCGGTCTTTCCAGTGCGTTACGTGGAGCTAGTGCTTACCAAATCCAAAGAACAGTTGGAGTAGACTCTCGTAAGGACTCCCTTCAAAGTTTCCCGTCCGCTTGCGCACACATCATGTCAGTTATGGTTTACTTCACCCCAAGAACTTAATAAATGCGAACTTCAGTTGTGTTCGTGAGATGACGCAACAGGCTAGATGTGGAAGAAGTTGCCCCCTCTGGGGAGACCGCTGTCAGGAATACCACTCCTCAAACTCAGTAACGTATAACTGGCCCCCTGAACTCCTCCTGGTATTTTAAGGCTCTCTGAAGGTTAGTCCTCATTTCTAAGCAACTTCTGACCAAAATCCAACCCAGAAGACAATGAAAATTCATCAGCTCGTACAACCTAGGCTACTGGCTACTACTGGTTAGTAGTCATATTTTTCTAGCTAGCTATCGGTCTTTGTGGCAGATCTGTTCGATCTGTTCACTTCAGTGAAGGTACTCCATAACCCTAGTTTTCATCCTTATCTACTGCGGTCTGTAGGCACAAAAGGTGCCAAATGAAAGTGACACTTAAATATAAATTGCGGTAAATTCTGACCCAAAAATATCGGATACGTTACCTGGTAGTTTCAAATTGATTTCGATTAAAATCGCTCGCATCCTTGCCATTCGCTGAGTCTGATGGAAATCAGGTCTCGATCAGTTCACCACCCAGGTGCCATATATCGTGCAAGAAATTCGGGATGGGTAGAACATCGATTTGTGCAGAAGTATGCACCATTCAACTCCCACTTACGTTTATTCATTTATTATTCATGAGGCTGGAACATTGTTCCCTCGCAAGAATGGCCATAACCTACAGCTGTTCGGAAGTCGAGCTAACGCTAACCTGATCAATTCGCTCCGCGTTATGTGCACAACTTCTTTTTCCCTATTTTATCTCATCCTAAGGGTGGGGTTTTGTGTAAAACTCGCTACATCTAATCATCTTTCTAAAAGGTCTCTGACTGTGGATCATTCGCTTCCCTGCAATCCAGCATGTGAGATATTGGGTCTAATTAGAACGATACATTTACGCTGTTTATTGAAAGCTGATTCCTGGTTACTATTCTACTCTTCAGACGATTTCCGACTGTTGCGCGCCAGTCACTTAACAACAAAACAACCATACTTTTATCTGTTCTGCACATACATGAAATGGTGGCACCACTGAGGCAATTCGCTCCAAACCTATTGCTTAAAGGAAGGTAATACTTTCAACAGAATTTGGTGACACGGCTTATTTGGACATCATCGGTTTCCAAGCTAACGGTCAGTTTTCCAAAGAAATATTCGCTCAGTTTCGACTTGACCATTTTTTAGTCATGGTTTAATGCATAAAGTCACAATGAAACACTTAATTCGCCACTCATAAGTAGCACCAATGAATCTAGTTTTTCGTCACAGAAGCTGTTCAGAATATCTACTCAAATCCTGCTTGCATAGTAGCAGCCTTTTTGAACAAGTCTCTCCGAAAAATCCTCCTGATAAGACTTGGAAATCTCGACAGACCACCATTTATTCCGCTTTTCATTGGGTTCAGCAGGTAGGACGAGTTCCCAAGCTTCCCTCAGCCATATTTCCCACTTGAGGACTAAGTTGTAGGTAAGTGGAGTTTTACACCCATTACTCACTCACTACTCTTCGGCTAAACATGCCGCTTAAAGGAAGGCTTAAGTTGTCGAAGTGGAGTTATTAACACAGCACCATTCGTAAGGTTGATAGTACACAGCACGCACGGCTGGAGAATATCTTTAAAAACGGGCACCGTAGGGGAGAGATTTACTCCTTAGAAAACAAACGAAACACTTACTCGAACACGTAATCCAATGATTCATTCGCATAGAGATTTGTGAAAGTTATCGTTCTTAAGCGTATTGCTGAACTTTTCTAGACTTTGTCCGAATATTTAAAGTTAATGAACAAACACTGTCGAAAGATCCAGTAATTTCCAATTTAATTTACATCAGTTGTGTGTACGGCGCTCTATACTACTTTCCCGCTAGGCTAATCGTGCACTTCTTCAATAGGAGGTCTCCCCATGAGCGAGACACTCAGTTGGGATTCAGTTTGGTCTCATGATCGGCATCTTAATTTTTGAAGAGGGATAGGAATCATATAAATCTCCCTGAATTCAAGAATGTGCGCTTGTGATAAACTGCCTCATTTCTAGTATGTCATTTAGTGTGCTCTCACCGAAGGATAAATTCGAATTTGAAAAACGAGATAAGCTGACGAATAGATTGAGCTGTCCCTTATATGTGCTCATTTCGAAGCCATCCGAACGCCCACAGCACTGTAACCTTGAACTGTGATTAGTAGGTCGTAAAAAAGATATGTTGATTAACCGTAGAACAATGTACTCGTGTAGGATACAAAAGAAGATCGCACACAATAAGTTATATAAATGGTACTGAAAGTTGATTGTTGATTAGTTGCTATGTGAGGAGTGTGTGGGCCTCCGTTAAATTCAAAGCGTTGAAGGGACTGAATCCAAACAAACGGTGTTTCGATTAAATAGGATAACTTTTCAATATGCTTCTCCAGGTTCATTCTTCTGGTGACCCTGAATAAATTTTTGAGTTTCGCGCCTGTCGGGACGTCACTTATTTCCACAATGGTCATGATTCATATTTAAACTTCTTATCTCCATCGCAGCCTTCGGAATCACGCCGAAACGACAGAGTGGCCAAAGATTTAGAGGGCCCCAGAAGACACATAATTGATTGAGGAACCGTAAATGATGTTCAACAACCTCAGCTTGGTTATTTTGACCCCATTTTGTTTGTACGTTTCACCAATAGACGTGGTCGCAACAAGGGGACGCTTGTTTGCCAGCTATACCAGCTCAATCATTGAAGCTACGGACATAATTGCTGATGTTTCACCAGACAGCCGAGAGCTGGCGCAATCTGAGTGGATGAGGACGAAAAAAATAGATCATACCTTAGATCACTGACAACATGGTCTGAGTATGCACTACCTAGTTGTGGCTTGAATGGCAGATCATTCGTGCAAGCTACGCATTTACGCAACAGACGCTAGGCTATCATAACTTTCTCCGCGCTTCACTACATACTGAGTTACTGGCTGGTCTAATCCACTCACGAACGGAAAAATCTTGAAAAAATAGAGATGATGTATGTTCGCTAATTTCGTGCAATTTGTTTTCAATAGAACATAAAGGTTGATGGAAACTCGGGGACTGCGCCTACCTGATGAGCCCCAAGAAGGGCGAAACCACAGTTTAAATCCGTAGTAAACTTATCATTAGCCAGTAAAGCGCAAGCAGTGTCACTTCCGATTGACCCTTCATAGCCAGCAAAATGAACGGGTTCCTTATCTTTGTGACTGGCTCGACCGACCACTAGTTTGTGTATCTCTGGGAGTATAACTCAAATTATATAGGAACTCAGGAAACCAATACTACAGCAGCAGTTTTCTTTTGTTCACACGCAAAACACATCATCAGCCCAAGATTAAGGAAGACAACCGATGGGAGGCTTTCTAATGGCCTCAGGGAACACATTGAGATGTCACCAATGTCACACGAACTGTAACATGATGTGGCGGTAGTGCAGCACACCAAGTTGAAGATCACCAATAAGGGTTTCAACTAGAATACGGTTGGGTCATCCGTTCAAAAAAACTTAGTGTGAAAATTAGTTCATCTGGCGAGCTTCGTATAATTTGGGTGCAAACAGAACATACGGTTGAGGGAATTTGCACTAGTGATGTAGAGAGAAACCGTTTTTGGGCTATGCAAGGATTTTCACCAGACTCATCAGAGTTTCTTTGACAAGACGGTATGTTGCGATACGTCTAATTTCTTCACGTACACAACATAATTCAGCATTTTTGCATCACATTTCAAGCTAAACTACTGTGCAAAAGACTGTAGCTTGCGCTTTGCGTTTAATTTACTTCCAAGTACAACATGCGGTTGCGGCAATTTCGAGGACCGGGTTTATGTCACAGACAAAAATCCAGACACCTTTAGACAGGTGAAGGATGAATAAAAGCAAGGCGAACAAATGAGGCGAACTAAAGATACCAAAATCAACCAGTATCCAATATATTCATTTTGAGGTGAATCTGCAATTTAATTTAAAGGTGACAGCATGCCAGCAGCAGTCCAAGAAGAAACCTCGCTTAGACGTACTGAACAGTTCATCAATAATTTCTGAAGAGACTGGGAATTTTCACAGTTAGAACTGATTGAATTATGCAGAATTTGTGTACTAAAGCGTACTTGTAGTCTGTATACTCCCAGTTATACACAAACATAATCACCATATAAATGGCTTGAAGCTCTATACATCAAGGATACCTGAGTACGTGTTTGGCGGACGCGTAAACTTTGCTTCTGTTTTATCTTGTTTTTTGGCTTTGTGGAAAAGTCTCTTTAAAGACGAGTTTCGTTGCCAGTTTATTTACTTGGTCACTCTGGCTCCAGCATTTACTAACTATCCACATTCATCTCTTAAATTGGTGTTCGCCTGATAACGCAGTTATACCAAATTTGGGTATTGCGTGTGACCTAACAACTCCAGCTTTGAGTCATTCCGGGAGCAACATACGAGATCTTTTGAGAGAAAGCTTGCGAAATCTGGCGATTTAGAACCAGCTTATTGTCGATCCAGCTGCGCGGAACGTGTTCTATAGATGGTATTCCATCCAGTACTTTTTCCCGAGATCAATCTCCTGGCAATTGTTGGTGCGTCAACTAAAGTCACTTACTCAGCGTGAGTAGGACTGATGGCTTCAGCCAGAAAGATGACTGGCTTAGTTCGTTCGGCGGTGACAGCTATGTAGGACTGAATGGTTGTGGAAAAAGTTCTTAATCTGAACGGGGAGCGAAAGTGGACATGGAACATTTCGACAATATTTTGCTCAAACATCAAAAATAACCAGAAAATATCATTGCAGGCATTATTCCGTATGCATCAGAAAGTTCAGGTTCAAGACTAGTTTTAGTAAGTAAATGTTAATCGAATTCCGTCAGTTCCTCAAATCTTCAGTCGTTTGGCACGTCCGTCTTCCAATACACTGTTGATTGTTTACCGTTACAGTTGAATTATTAGTCTTCTCTATTGTATCAGGTTTTCCAGTTGGTGACTGTTGGTGCGGTGTGTTTGCGGGTCCGCAGAACACTCAAATACCATGCTGCCGTATTATCTTCGCAGTCACCCGAGAAATGTTGTTGATGTATGGCAGTAGAATTCTTTCCCCTTGTCTTTGTAACATAGAGTTGTTTGACAGATCTCCAAATGGAATTCTTCGGTTACCGTCTCCTTGAGGGAGTTTCTATAAGCATTTTTTTTCTCTCACCTTGAATTCCATTGCATCGCAACGTGTTTCAGTTCGCTTGAACACTTCGAAGGCATCTCCGTTCTTAACCGCTTGCTGTACAAATCGAAATTTGATTCGTGCACGTTGAGAACTCGGTAATCTTTCTTGATATTGGAGATTCCATTGGTGCTTCTCTTAGTTGTCCCTACTATTCACCATTTCACTCAAAATATGTGGTCACCCACAGATCCCAATTGGCTCCTGTTTCCGATTATCTGTTGGAAGTCAGCAGGCTTCAGACAGTTAGCGACTACTATGTTAGCAGAGTGAAGGCCTATGCGTGTGACCAGCGAGCTCATATCAAACGAGACCGTTATTTTGTCCTCCCCTATTGTTAGGTCTCTCGGTTTGTCCGAAGGTTTTTGTGTGCTGTTGTTTGAGTGTTGCAATCTAATGATGAAATATTTGGCCTATCTTCAGTTTCAGTGAAAGGTGATAGGTTGGTATACCTGAAAGTGCCACGAATGATGATGAAGGTGTTTTCTCTTGTGTGCTTTTGAAAGTCCGTAGAATCGTGGATTATTCGAACCTTGGGATTTCTTTCATCTAATACTTTGGAGTGCGATTCTTCAAGTTCCTAGTGATTTTGTTCGCAACTGTTTGTCCGTCACTTAGACAGCGAATCGTGTCTACATAGTTATCTAAATTGAATCATCGTGATCACCACTATCATCATCGACAACATGACATCAGTGTTCAACACCAGTGCTCCATGGCCATACAACCATAATTTGTTTGAAATTCTTACTGTGAAGAAAGGAATCGGAGGTGGAGATGTAAGGGACTTAGTGTCAACTTACTACAATCATTCAGAGGTACCTACACCTCCAGACACTCTTTNCCCTAACCCTCCAGACCCTCTTTCAGGCAGTTTGGATGGATACTGACAAGAAAAGCGTCACTGACATTGGTTCGCAGCCATATTTTTCAGCGTCTCCAACTAGGCGCAGTGATGATAACGCGTTCTTCATGCTGGAAGGCGAGTAGCACCAACAGCACCCAAAGGTTTCGTAAGCTCCTTCATAAGCTTTCTAGGTCATAGGTTGGGCAGCTCTCTGCTTCCGGCGCTCTGAGTTGTGCAAGGAAAACAGCGCTCTCTTCGGAAACCGATGGTTAGCTATGCGCAAACTTTGACTTATTTCTTTAGCCTGAGTTGCACATGGTGAAGGTCAGGCGTCCTTCATCAGCCAGGAAAATGGTAACTGTTTCATGTTTCTTCAAATTCTTTCGTGTTTCATTTTCCTTGTGCGAGAGCAGGTTAGGTGTTCTGTTGCTTGCAGCACAACCAAAGTTCAAACGATTCTCTTAAAAGAAACGGGAGAGTACTCTGAAAAATGTTGGACAGCTTTCTATGGACATTCCGTTCAATACCGACTTCACATATGCCTCATCGAAAGTGAGTTGCTGAACTTCGTCTAGGAAAACTAATGCAAACACTTTTTTATGTCTTGCGACCACATCAGAGCAGTGCCCAGTTACACATGCTCATTTTTTATTCAGATAACACTGTCTTCTTGCCCTGCCTTCATAATTGTAAGCTTAGGTGGCTGGCTTTGGTTAGAAAATGTCACAGAGATCGTGTTAAACAAAGTGCTCGGTGACAGCAATACAGTTATGCCGCATTGGACTACGCCACAGAAGTAAAGCCATGACAGCTGTTTTGCTTCAGCACTGGACGTTCTGTTATATACATCTGTATGGTCTGTACGCAACGTTAAGTATGTTTCCCTGACCTTTGATCATTTTATTACGCACGGTCGCCAGTCGGAGGGCTTAGTCCTCAATTGTGGGTAATATTTGTTATCATTGCCACCACTATTCGAATTCCGAACGAAACCTGAAAATGATTTCCCCTACAGATCCACCTATCGCTTTTGTTTGCTTACTACTGATTACTGCCTCGTACTGTCTCAATCAAATGAGAAGCTGGTTTCTAGCTAGCTTATAGTCCACCAGGTATCTTATCGGCTCTTTTTGGCTCTGATTTCAAAACTCCATCAGTAAAACATGTGTTTCTTCTCGTAGAGTCGGATTTAAAGTATCTTGAGAGTTATGTTCACCTTCATTGAAATCCAAATATCTGACAATCTCCCGTCCATATACCCTATCTCAGTGTACACGCATGATATCACCTGCGTTACATCTCATGTGTACCCCCAGGACCACCCTTTATAGGTTCAGTGAGGATTATTCACACCGTGACTTGCATGATTCCAATCTAGGTATGGCGATGGATTCAACGTTTCGTCCAAGCCACCTTCATTTTACATTTGCTATTTTGACGCTTCTTACACATACGCATCATAACGTAACTGCTGGTTTAAGTGACGCAACCAAATATGAAATCTCGTGTTACAGGTTTATTAAGTCAAATTTTTCAGGGCTCTAAGTGGAAAGAGGGCTGACATACTCGGGACTAAAAATTAGGCTTTAATATAATTTAGTTTGGCATTGGTTTTCTATTATTAGAAACTGGATTCACAGAGAACTCGGTATCCAAGGGCTGAAATTGATACACAGATATTTTTTACCCCCTGCGTTATGGTGTTCAAAAATCAGGGAGATATGACCTGTGAGACCCAGTTGTGGATCATGGCTACGACCTTCATGAGTGTCGCGAATCTGCGCAGGATGGGATGGGTTGATAGCTTGGAATCGAGAGTAGACATACCGATTTCCCAGTGACGCTGAAGACAAGAGGTGTGCTACAGTTATGTCGAATTTCCACCAACACAACCTCATTCCACCGTTTTTTAGGCTGCGGTCTAGTTGATACGGTCCCATTACAAGCGGAAAATTCTCTGAAAATATTCATCACATCCCTATCCCTATCCTCTTGTCCTAATTCCCCTTTGTTGGTTCAGCGCTCAAACTTGGCCAATTGACTTCACTTCACAACCTGCATCTATAAAATTGTTTTGATTCGACTTGAACCCTCAGTCTACGCATTACTCGTAACCGATCGGGTCTCAGTGAGACCAGTCATTTTTGGAGCGCTGTAAGATTTTCTTACCCTATATTGATTAGTTTCCTCGTGGCAGTGCTGCGTTTTGTGGTTAAACCAGTACAATCTGAGGTAAGCTATTGATTCTGCTGTTACTCGTTCGTCACAGTATAGTAAAACGACCTCCTGTGTTTCTTGGTTGGGCGAGATAAAGAAAAATTCATGTATTCATAATCACCATTTGTTTATTGAAATGTTCTATTCAATTCGTTAATAATGTTTGTAGCAAACTTGTCAATTCATTTAGTTTTACTTGTCGTGTCGCACTTAATTTCGGTGTTACTCTTACACGTTTCACCCTAACAAACTGTAAAACTAGCAGGTGCGTAAGCTGACGAAAACTGGTCCGTGAACACCAATGTTTTTATGCGTCTTTGGAGTTAAATAGGCCCGCGGCACTCGACGTATTATACAGCAAACTAAGTGACCATTGCTTTGGCGGTGACCTTCCGGGTTATCTAAATCGTTGTGTATATGTTTCATTTATTTCCCCTCAAAGTCTGAACCCAAAGCTGTCCAAAATAAGGAATGCGAAAAGTGCGCAAGCATTTATAGCACAGCAAATTTAGGGGGTGTCGTATAGTCGTGTTACTGGTGTGTTATTCTACACTAGGCTGCACGTGAAAACCCGCCTATGTGTAATCAAATGTATGTATACTCTTTTACTGTGTATTCGTTTGTGAATTTGCTGATGATAATCAGGATGTGGTTCATCCCTTTCTCGGGAATCCGCAACCTGTGATCTCCTCTTAAGTGGAATACTGTGCTACTTAAAAACGACAAGTAGCACGATTGGATGCTACATCAATGAGGAGATTGACATCGGCGCCTGTCTTAGCCCATTAAGAACAGGTGTTTCATAGAAGCAAGCCGAATAAACTTGCTTTTATTTTCGGACCAATGGGAGAAATGGAATATCTCCTGAGAGTAGCGCTTCATAGAGTTAATACCCCTAGCATCACAAGTACCCAACATGCTAGTATCGTTCGAGTATTTGGTGAACACATTCCACAGGTAGTTGAGTTGCCTATATTTCGGATTCCTTAAGATAAGCAGAGTATGTCTGCTTCACATCTATCATGGCATATGTAATTGTTTGCAATTCATCGATGGCCCGCCAGTTGCCACTTTAATCACCTGGCATCGGATCAACAAGGCATAATGTCAAAAACCATCTGAATCCTAACGAATATTATGTAGCTTATTGGCTTCTGGGTCTCCGTGACATAATACAGGTTGGCCGTACAAACTCTGTTTATCACTTAAGGTTTCATAAATCTAAGAAATTACTTTAGTCCTCCTAAAAAAAGACCACTGACGGAGAGGAGAGCAGGCAGCCACAGTTTGTGCGCTCCCATCGATCTGAAGCTTCTGATGCGGTATGGAGAGAAGGTGAGGTTTGCTAACTAATGATTCTTCCTTCCCACTCAAGAGACGCAAACATGGTCCACTCTATTATCA